CTATGTAGTTACTATTTACTAGTAACTAAGTAACTATGTAGTTACTAGTTACTGGTAAATAAGTAACTAAGGTAGTTACTTAGTTACTAGTAAAGTAAAGGTAAAGTCCCACCCCTAGTTGTATTCATAAACGATATATGATTAATCCTCTATTATTAAATTAAAAATACATGAAAATAGTAAAATTTTGTGAGTACTTTGATAGCCAACATCGAACGTTAGTTTGCTTTCTGGTATGCCAATTATTAATATGAGATTTCAACAATACAAAGTCTAAAATATAAAAATATATCAATAAGACCTAACACAATGCATATGCACGCCGTTGTACTCAAAGAAGCACAAAACGATTGTTTATGCAAAAACATTTCTTTCTTGATCGAATGAAATTTCAAAGACATTCTTAGAATAATCTTTAATAAAATAATAAGTTGAATATGAGTGTTTGGTAAAACAACTGTACGTCCTTTATTTCATCAATTTATTCTGAATTTAAAATATTTCTTTTTTTTTTTTGAAATCCGATCTTATTTTAATAAAAACATTTCCACATTGTAATTCAGATGCCTTTTTATTATAAATCGAGTTGAATATAATTTTTAGATTTAGATCAATTTTAAATGCAAATAAATTCGGTTCGAATTAATGAAAATGGGAATTTCTTATAAATTTAAACAAAAAAAAACAATAAGTTTAAAATAAACTCAGGCCTTTCAGAATAAGTTTTTGAATCTAACTGATCTCTTTCAATGAATTCCATATTCCTAATTAAACAAAACTATTGTTACATTTATACATCTAATCAAGATATCACGCCGTAAAATTGTTCTATATCCGATCTGCTCATACGAATAATATTAAAAATCAATAAAGTTAACGGTAATCGTATGTTATGTCGTTTATTGTCGTTCCATCATAGTCATTACTATAAAACATATGACATGAATTCTAGTATTGTAGGTTTTTTGAGACTATATATGGTAATAGAGGGACACATGGGTCTGATACAAGGTGAAAGAAGATAGTACAAGTTGTACTTGTATTTGCGCATCCTTGATTATTTCACAAAATTCATTCCGAATATAACGAACTAACATGTATTCAACCTCGTTCATGATTCATATCAATCGAATTCATTTCTTGATCCATACATACCGAATAATAGAAGGATTTTTTGTTTCCCGATATGAATATAAAACACTAGCTAGCTGTTCTCTTTTAAAAAGTAACTTGATCCATGCAGCCAATATTTAGCTAAGGATAATGTGTTGAACAGTTCTATTAGATCATATTCAGAGCAAGTGAACCAGAGGATAGTTTCATATTCTTTTCAAATTGACATAATACGTTTCTTTTTCCTGAACGCAATGCGATCGGACTGCATCAGAGTGGTCAATAGGCCACTTTTTTCAGCTTGACCTGGTCTTTTTGTTATTATGAAATTTACAAAATGGCATGAATCCATTGTATACGTTTCAATTTGTAATCCGACTTGTTTTCATAGGAGCAATAGAATACAGTATGATAATTCTCAAGTAACAGCATTCATGAATCAATTTTAAGATTGGCTTTATCGAAACCTTTAACACATGAATATTGACTTGAGTTCTGAAATGTCCAGGGAATAAAAAAATTAAAAAAATTTCATTTAAATGATTATGGGGTGTGTGGGTAGGGCGTGGGTGTCAGAGTTGATTACTTGATTCCCACACCCACAGCCTGATTGCTAGAAAATGCTCTGATTAGATTCTAAACAAGAATACCTTCAAAAATTGGTTATAGATCTCGGTTCTTGTCCCATGGTAATGACATAGAGGCTCTACTGAACGAAATACTTCAGAGAATCACAAAATCTACACCAGCTTTCTATATTTATTTCAAAGTTTGTCAGGAATCTACGTAATAAATTAAGTGTCTTATCACTTGATTTCTCACGTTATATTCGTTTCTTTACTGTTATGTCACGATTAAATAAATCTTTCACGCCTTGTTCAAAATATAGATAAATCAAAGGAGAAGATTTTTGATACGAAGTTGACATCCTTTAATGATAGTCATGAATTTTCATGGAAAAGGACATGAATGAAGATCGATATTGAATACTTGACACCAATTAATTCGTTTGTTTTCAATACGAAGTTGTTTATTATCACAATCAAATGTCAATGTCACATCGTCACATATATTCCATCTTCTCTTTCCACCAGAACCAGATTTTTTACCACATTGTACATGATATCCACTTGACCAAACTCCATACACTGATACCATCTTAGAAACATCGTCTTGCATTGACTCATTAGATGTCATTGTACCAAAGAAACAACTCCATCCTATAAGAGATTTGTAGATGTAACAACAGAGATATAAATATTATCGTTTTTTACAAACTGTTTACCTGTTTGATAAACATTTTCAATCGAAAAAGTGACGGAATGTCTACCATTTGAATAAGAATTCGCACCGGAAATACACGAACGTGAATCAATATCATTTATCGCAACAAGATTTTCTTCATAAAGCTTTGATTTTTCAAGAACTTGAGAGTGTAGGTGTGGGTGTGGGTGGGTGTAGGTGTGGGTGTGGGTGGGTG